ATTCCAAGTTGGATGTTGAGACCATGTGGTTGAATAGTTCGAAGACGATTCATCCACACTTTCTCTCTGCTGAGGCGAACTGAGTCCTTGCGATGGCCAAGAGATTCAATGCCCTGCAAAATCATATCAGAAATGGAGTGGTTAGGCAGGTTGAAGTGATGACCAACAGGGGTGTCTAGTTTCTTGGTGTTGACCGTTGACCGGTGGGCATAGAAACGCTTCTTGAGCGTATTCTTAGTCTCACCTACATACTGCACTCCACAGACCCTGCAAGAAATGATATATATGACATTAGAGGTGTTACAAGTGATGTTACCAATGGTTCTGTGGGTAGTGACAGAAGAGTGGCCAGAAAAGGAGTCAGACTCCTGGATATGAATCTGGCAGACAACACATCTGGAACTGCACTTGAAAGTACCATGCTGGGTGGGAGGGGATGCATCTAAGGAAGGGACTTCAGCTCGAACAATCAAGTCCCGTAGATTTCGAGGACGCCTGTAAGCCAATGTGGGGCCGTTGGGGATGGCGCGGGCAAGGCGATCTGAAGTATGGAGGATATGATGATTGTCATTAGTGATTTTGCGAAGGGGAGGGAGATTGGGGTGAAACGTGGTAACCAAGGGAATCATGGGTTTGGCCATGGCATCAGGGGCCTTTCCCGTGAGAGCTAGATTTCTGGGGATAGCTTTAGCTCTGGCAATGGCACGATGAACTTGGCGAGAGCTGTGACCCCTGGCCACCAAGTTGTTCCTCAGTATCTGTGTATGGCGGGAGAAATCGGAATCATTAGAACAAATTATTCGGAGTCTGAGTGCCTGGCTAAACGCTATGCCAGTTTTGCAGTGCCTGGGGTGACAGCTGGAGGAGTGGAGGTACTGGTGGGTGTCTGTGGGTTTGGAATACAGGTCAGTGGTTAGTGAGTTGCCTTGCTTGTGGACGGTGACATCCAGAAAGTGGGTTTGGTGAGCCGAGAACTCCGATGTGAATTTGATGGTTCTGTGGAAGGAATTGATGTGGTTAGTGAAGGTCAAGAGACTGTCCTCATCACTGGTCCAGATGAAAAAAACATCATCAATATATCTCCACCAGATCCAAGGGCGACATGGGGCCGAGGTAAGAATGCGTTCTTCGAGGTCGCCCATGAAGAGGCAAGCCATCGACGGGGCCATGCGAGTGCCCATTGCAGTGCCGTGTACCTGTAGATAGTGTTCACCAAGGAAGGAAAAATTGTTCTTCGTTAGTATAAGTCTCATGAGGGTGCCAACATCACTGATGGGAGGAGTCGTGTGTCCTGCCTTGGCCAGAGCCAAGGAGCAAGCACGAACACCCTCCTCATGTGGGATGTTGGTGTACAGAGATGAGACGTCGAAAGTCCCAATGATGGCTGTGCTGGGAATCTGGTCCTTGATTCCTTCAAGCTTGCGTAGGAAGTCTGGGGTGTCGCGAATGTATGACGAAATCTGTGGGACAAGGGGTTTGAGAAAACTGTCAATGAACAGGGAGATGCGTTCCATGGGTGAGCCATTACCGGAGATGATGGGTCTACCGGGGTTGCCAGCCTTGTGAATCTTGGGTAGAAGGTAAAATCTGGCAGTCCTACAATCACAGGGAGAAAGAAATTTGTGAGCTTTCTTGGACAACTGGTCACGTGATCGCATATCGTCAAGTACCTGTTGTATATCTCGACAGAAAGTGCCTGTGGGGTCAGAGTCAAGAGATTATCATGAGTCCTGTGGGGGAAGTTGTCCGGGTTAGTGACTTGGGAATTGATAACTTGAACGTATGTCTCTATGGCTGGCACACGATTCTTGGGGGGTACCCATGAACTCTTGACTCGAAAAGGCTCTGGCTCACACGGTTCACTGTCCAGGAAAAACTCACACAGACTGATTCTACGGTAGTATTCCGTGAGATCTTGGCTGAGCTGAACCTGGTTCACAGAACGGGGAGTGGGACAAAAATTGAGACCCTTGGAGAGAAGTTTGTGTTCTGCGTCAGATATTGATGAGGAAGAAAGATTAACTACAGTGTTGACAGGGGGTTCTGGCGGTAGCGTGGTAGATGGGGACCTAGGACGTCTGAAACGTCTGTGTCTGCGTTGCTGTTGCTTGGCAAGCAAGCCACCAATCTTCTTGTTTCTCCTGTTGAGTAGGACAGAGTCAAGGTTAGACAAACCCCTTTCAATCTCATCATGGAAATTCCTGTACGTGGAGTCAGAACAACTGGATTTGAGTTGGGAGTCAAGGTGGGAAATATTCTGATGGAGGTCCTCACGTGTAAATTGACACTGCTGAGAGAGAATACTGATGAGTTTAATAGAGGCACCATGTATAACTTGATTCCATCTCCTTTGAAGGTGTGGTGGGAGGTTTCCTAAGCAGGGAGTGTGAGACAGTTGCAAACCTTTGGGGATAAATCGAGAGAGGGAGTAAAAACTGTAGTTATCCTGATGGTAGGAAAAGCGTTAGGCCTTTTCCTTTGCCTTTCTGAGCTGTTGGAAAGTGCAAATGGTGTCACTCATATCTGTAGAAAGGGAGAGAATAAATGGTTAATACATAATCCTCCTTTTGTGTTTCTTCTTTTAGCCCTGCATGTTTGTGTGCACCCCCATGTTAATGTATGTACCTCTGTCATTTCTGTTTTAGCCTCTGAAGAAGAACTTGCTAAGTTCGCAACGTCAGGCCACATTAATTTTAAGATTCAAAGAGTGGTCGGGTTGTGCCCGACCACTCAACTAGAGGTTCGCGTTTGTTGTTACAAACGCAGAGTGGTCGGGCAGGCAATTTGTTCATGAAACACTGCCGAGTTAAGTTATGAATATGTTTATGTAACAACAAAGGATCACGAAATTAAATCCTTTCCATCACAATAAATTATTTTGCTAAAAAATGCATCTTAAATGGTGTGCTAAATTTCTGTAAACATTTTATGTACACATACGAGTTATTTCTGGCTTGATGACGTCATTCTTAAAAAAAAAAAGGAAGTGAATACTTCGGAGTGGATAAATGTTTTTTGTGAAGTTAAATAACATATGCAAATATGGAAAATATAACTGTAAGTATTTATAACACCTAATTTCCAGTTCAATGACGTCACTAGTATTTGGAAGCAAAAGGTTAACATTAATTGTTATGGTATCGTTATTTGGGCTAAGAAGATATATATGACATGGATCAAATGATAGAATTCAATTTAAAATATGATCATTTTCAAATGCTCATCGACATAACTTCCGGTCTGATGACGTCATGAATTTGAACCTTGCCAAGTTATCTGTGGTTTATCAAAGAATATCAAGGGGCGATTTGATAAAATTGGAACCGATGACACCCGATGACGTCATCATGATGTCAGAGTAATATGCACCACTAGGCATGAGGGCCGATATATGTTGAAAGTTACAAGTTCATACCATATACCGTTTAGGAGAAAACCCGCGGAAACGTGCCGTACGAAAAAAAAATAAAGATTAATCGTAACAATAATAGAGAGTGGTCGGTCAACTAGAGCTGTATGTCTGTTTGAAAACAGAACACAGGACTTGTTCACATGTTATAAATGTTTATGCTATGTTTGTCCTTTGCAATCACTTTTTAGAGTGTGTAATACAGTTAAAGGTGCGTTGTTCACAATGCTTAGAATAATCCCAAAAATAAAGCTTTATCACATGACGTCAAATGCCATGCGATGACATCATCTTGAATACCTTTCTCAATGCACATTTTTTGTCATTGTGGAAGGAAGTGTGCAATTTTGGAAGCAGAATAAAATTATAAATATTAACAAAACATAAAAAATTAACTGATGACGTCATCGTGACGTCACTTCAGACTTTGCATACTAGTACCATTATTTACCTACCCACCAAGTTTCATGACGATCGGAACTTTCTTAATATGTGTTTTGAAAAATCGCACTTTGGATGACGTCATGATGACGTCACACATTTTCAAAATTTTATGCAAATACCTATTACCTAACAAACCAAATACAAAAAGAATTTTGAAATTTGCATGTTGCGTTCGTGAGATATGGCTAAAAGGTCCAAAAATTAAAATATTCAAATAAAATCGCATGATGATGTCATCATGACGTCACCTCATTTTTTATCTATAACACATCCCGGTCAGGTCTACCCACACACCAAATTTCAACCCAATGGGACTTACTGTTCTGTAGACATAGGACTTCAAAATATGCATGTTTGTGATGATGTCACGTGACCGCCTGATGACGTAATCATGACGTCACTCTTGGGGACACTTGCCACAAGGACAATGCTTAATTTGAATGATGTGTGACAAAGTTCAATGCCAAAAGTGTCGTGTACTAAAATTGTGTACAAAGTCTATGGGGTTTATGGCACAAAAGAATCACCCCCCCAAAAAAAATCAGAACAAAAACAATGGCTTTTTCGCAAATTTGCGAAAAAGCCAACAAAAAAAATCTTAGTGAAAACAAAGGCTGTTTTGGCCGGTTGCCGAAACAGCCAAAAAGATCAATCTCAAAGTTGTCTTGGACAGTATAAACCATTTTAATTTTTTTAAATCTAATAAATTAAAGTTTTAACTGATGTGCATAGAAATGACTTCATGCCCTGACATTTCATGCATGTACCCAAGGGCGGATCCAGAACACAATTTTTTTGGGGGGGCCTAAAAAAATTTTGGACCCCCCAAAAAGTGGGTCAAAAAAATTACGGCTTTTTGGATTCTAGATGCTCTGTGGTGCGATCTGAGGCAATTTCTGACCACTTTAACCAATGTTTTTTTGAGGAAAAGATGGTGGTGTACTCATTGCCTGCCTTTATTGCGATGTCACATAAAAAAAAAAAAATTGGTCTCGTTTTGGGGGGGGGGCCATGGCCCCCTTTGGGCCCCCCCCCCTTGGATCCGCCCTTGCATGTACCTGGTAAAAAAGGAACAGTAAATGTCAATTTAGAATTTTGTAGCCTGCCAGATTATACCTGCAAGCTTGCCTGCACGCTTGCCTGCAAGCTAAAAACCTGTGTGAGCTAGCAGGCAAGTTTGCCGCAAGGGCTTGTCCGCGGGCTTGTCCGCGGGCTTGTCCGCGGGCTTGTCCGCGGGCTTGTCCGCGGGCTTGTCCGCGGGCTTGTCCGCGGGCTTGTCCGCGGGCTTGTCCGCGGGCTTGTCCGCGGGCTTGTCCGCGGGCTTGTCCGCGGGCTTGTCCGCGGGCTTGTCCGCGGGCTTGTCCGCGGGCTTGTCCGCGGGCTTGTCCGCGGGCTTGTCCGCCTTGCGGGCTTGTCCGCGGGCTTGTCCGCGGGCTTGTCCGCGGGCTTGTCCGCGGGCTTGTCCGCGGGCTTGTCCGCGGGCTTGTCCGCGGGCTTGTCCGCAAGCTTGTCCGCAAGCTTGTCCGCAAGCTTGTCCGCAAGCTTGTCCGCAAGCTTGTCCGCAAGCTTGTCCGCAAGCTTGTCCGCAAGCTTGTCCGCAAGCTTGACATGATCAAGATTGCAGACAAGCTTGCCAGAATTTCTGTAAGGGTGACGTCTACACAAAACAAATCACAATTCAATAGACCAGGACACTAAGTGTTTCATCTACGCAGACGATCTTTGTGTTACATCTCAAAAGATTCCGTTCGAAGTAAAACTTCGTGTTAAGCAAAACTTAACTCAGCATCCACACTATGAGCGCAATCACCTCCATGCCAATCTAAGACCCAAGTCTGTTCGTTCCATCTCAGGAACGTTAACCGCAAAGTCAACCGACCCCTTAACATCGAATGATCTGGAACACCATGGGCGCCTTGTAGCCATCCTGTCTACCTTGTGACCCTTCATCGTATCCTTTAATTCAAGTCATCCAAATTTAGTTCCCCGTAACAACATCAAAAAGAAATTGAACAACCTCCAAAAGGGGAGCCAAACCACACCCTATGATGAACCATTTTGGCTCTGTGCCATTCTTCAGCAGAGCATGCGTGCCCCGTCATGGGCCATGAAACCTGACCCAGCCTTAAACAACATGCAGTTTGATCACTGGATGCTTGAAACCCACCAACACAAGTAATTTGCACATCCTTGCTGGCATTTCCTCTTCGGATTTCCAAAGGGAAGTTGCCAGCCCAGCTAAAATGTCCAAATCGTCACCGTTTTCACGAAGGGGCGAATTTCATGAAAATCGTCTGTTTTTCGAGAAAATATTTTTTTTTGGTGAATATGAATAAATATATCAATATCTACAACCTGGTGAGGCTATACTTTAAAAAAATTAATTAAAATCTTAATTGACCTAATTAACGAATGGACGAATTTGCCAAAAGTGTTGTTTGCGTTTTCACGAAGGGGCAAATTTCTGCACTCTATGGAATTTATAAATTTTCAGTAAATAGATACATTTTAATACAATAACGTGTATATCACGAAAGGGCAAATTTCAGGCGCGTGCAATAAAACGTTTTCACGAAGGGGCGAATTTCAAGGCGCACGCGCAGTGGGGCAGAATCTGCGTGTTCTGTACAAAAAATACATTGACTCAGCCCGCAGAAGGGCGAATAGTCACTTAAGCGTTTTCACGAAGGGGCGAATTTGCTAATTGGTCTTTTTTTTCGTTTTCACAAACAGTCACTTGATTGATAAATCCTGCAAAACTAATCACCTATTCTTCTTAAAGTTTGCCACATTTAGGAAGATTAGAATCTCTTCTTTCCTCTGATACCTAAATCTTGCATATTTCATGCATCTTTAAGTTTCAAATTGTCAAATGAAAAAAAGGACCAACTTTAAACGCGGATGTTTGCTCAGACAGTGAAATACTCAATTTGCCTCTTCGTGAAAACGGTGACGAAATATTGATAAATGACGAGTGTTGCCTCCTCTAGGGACGGCAAGCTTCGGCACAAAAGGCTGAAGTAAAGATAGGCTTCCTTGGCCATGTCCACTCCTTCACAACATCCAGGGAAGTGGCAAGACTCCAATGCTTGAAGCAATGACTGGGAGCAAACGCCCACCGATTGTCATGGTTATACTATAACAACGACGGAAAACCTCCCAACAGGTGCTACATCGACATGGGTTCAATGGAAAACTATCAGCCACTTGAGAACCAGGACTAGCCGATCACAGACCCGCCTTATTCAAATGGAGCTATAAAAGTGGTTCAGCTGCATTTTGTTGTGGAGAGGCAGAGTTGTATCACATTCTGTAGTGCAGGAGATTTCTACCTGCCTAGGTTCAAAGATGGCATTGACCCAGTAAACAGGACGGTATTGGGCCGATACCGGCTAATTAGGGGTTTGTTGTGGCAGTACCATACAGTTTAAACGGTACAAGACCAGAAGCGGGCTAATGCTGGCTCGATTGCGCCAAAACACAGACTCTACAGAGTCGGAATTGGTCCAGTGCTCGCCCTTTTAAGTGGCAAACGGTAACAGTAACACCGTTCAGAGCCGGTCTCGGACCAGTGCTGGTCTTTTTAAGGCGAACAATAACAGCAAGACGGCGCACAGCCTGAACCGGGCCACTGCACGTCCTCTTATGATAAACCATGATGAAAAGACGGTAAAAGGCCTGGATCAGGCCAGTGTTGGTCCCTTTACAGGAAACCATAATGGCAAGACGGTACACAACCTGAATGGGACCGGTGCCGGCCCTTTCAGGTCAAACCAAAATGGCAAAAAAGGTACTTACCCTGAATTGGGCCGGTGTTAGTTCTATTACGGCAAACCGTATGGCCACCGTAGTGGACAAACTGACCAGTTGACACAATCCAAAATACATGTAGTACTAACCCAAATGGTTTAGCTGCGTTCCATGACCCTGAAAATATATGTTTAGACACCAAGATTTAGATCCTTAGTGGCTTAAAGATGCAATACACGTATTTGGAGATATAGGTTTCAAATGGCGGCCATGTTTCAAATACAAGATGGCCACACTACTGTATCTGGACAAACTAACCACTTGACACTATCCCAACTTATACAGTTGCATTCCTTGACCCTGAAAATGTATGTTTAGATAAGACACCAAAACTTTAATCTTAAGAGGCTTAGAAGATCAGATATGAGTAAATATAGGTTTTCAATGGCAGCCATCTTTCAAATCCAAGATGGCTGCCATATTGTTATTGGATAAGGTAGTTCCTATCAAAAATGAAAGCTAAGGCAATAAGGAGCATGTATGGAAAATTTAGCGTCTTTGTCCGGAATGTCCACATCCATTCCAAAAGCTGGCCTAAGCTGCCTGACTAGTGGTATGGTACATGTCAAGAAAACAGCTCCTGCAGGATTTTTGTGCTAAGGCAAAAAAAACACAATAATCGGTCTCTGGTCAGACAGACCGAAGTTCCAGAATTGATGCGGCGACGCCTTTTTTTTTTTTTTTTTTTTTTTTCAAGCTTGAATTGTACAGACAAGGTGGATACTATTTTGCTTTTTTGTGTCCTCATTATACATTGGTATTCTCCATAATTTTCTTGGTGCCCTTTATCATTTGCCTTGGTGCAATTTCCCCATTCCTTGGTGCTCCTGGGTACAAACATTTGAGGAGGTGCGACAATAGAGGGCACCGTTTTAGCTTCCGTGTTAATTTGAAGAAGAAAAAAAGGGTTGACGCGCATGATTAAAATCGACGCGCGCGCTGACCAGAGACTGGAGTATTTTTGGGGGGGGTCCTAAAATTTATTTTTAAATTTTTTTGTGCATTTCTGGGTTCTGTAGGGTCCAAACTATCAGAAATTGATGGGGTTCGAATTTTTCAGCCCCCCAACCCTCTTTCTGGGCGTAACCCATTTTGGGACCCCCCCCCCCCACCCACCTTCAGGACAATATGTCAGTCAGTTTTCATAATACTAGAGTCGTTTTGTAAGTTTTTCAACATTCTGAGTTGATTTATTACACTTTCAAAGCAGCCTGGAAGTGTCTTTGTCTGACTTTTGGTTCAGCAATTGGGGTCTCTCTTCACCTGAGACCCCCCGGACTGACCCGTGTGCCTATCTCAGTCATCATCATGACATTCCTCGCACTACTTTATGGGTGGCATGGGTGGCTTGTGCGTAAAGCGCTCGCCTCTCACCAAGGTGATCACGGTTCGAATCCTGGCCGCGGATCGCATGTGAGTAGAGTTGTGCGTTGGTTCTCTCCTGTGCCACGTGGGTTTTTCTCCGGGCCCTCCGGTTTTCCTCCCTCCGGAAAAATCAAACACTTCAGATCTCAGGCTGTGCTCCGTGGTCATATATGGGTCGATGTGGCCGGCAGCCATAGGCGCCTTTACGTGCCAGCGGCCCGACCACGTTGTAGCCGCATCCTTCGCAATTCAGCATACCAGCTGTGAGTAAGGATGATTAGCCTCCCAAATTATTATTATAATTATTATTATTACTACTGCTGCTCTTTTCTCGGTCAATACGAGAACAACTGAGGGGTGAGAGACAAGGGCGTCATGAATTCCTGGTGACCAGCAGGGATTCTATTCTGCCCAACCAGTTCATGGCTGGACTGCGAGATGAACGAGTCATGCAGAGACTTGCTCCGATGTGCCCCACTCCATGACGTTCAAGGATCTGAAGGCGGAAATTGAGGGTTGTTGCCGAGGGTTGTTGCCAAGGAAAGTAAGCAGTGAGACAAACAAAGGACGCTGACATGGGACATGGAGAGTCCGCTTTATACCATGAGTGAGATGGTTCACAGTCTCCCCAAGCAAAATTTGGGAGGCAAGACCACAGATAAGCAGAGTCAGCCCGGGAAAGATGCCACACCCCCTTCAGCCAATAGATGATGCACTACCTGCCCTGCAGCAGCTCATCGCACAGCAAGTGGGCGCGATAAGGGTGATGTTTAACAGTCAGGTGGAGGCACTAGGCCAAGAGCAACATGAACAGCGTCTAATGCATCTAGAAAGAGCGAGTCCCAAGCAACTAGGGTAACTGATGATTCTGTGGAACGACATCCCAGTTTGAGCTGACAGAGGCTACATGTATGTCCGTCCAATGTGTTCATTAAAGGAGCTGGCGGACAGCCAGTTCAGCATTCTTGTGTTATCGTGGTGGACATTCGAATTATGGCGATGCAGATAAACAAAGTCTCGTTCTCTGTTGTTCTGCTAACCGAATATAGACGGGAGACCCCGGTACTTATTGGGACCAATGTAATACGAGCCTGCCGAGATAAGATGAAGTCGACCTGTGGAAAGCGCATTTTGATGGAGGGTCAACTGCTCTACCAGCATTGGTTCCAGGCCTTTCAGTTCGTCAATGAAGACAGAGCAGATCTCGCAAGGGAGACAGGAGATATTGAATTCTTGAGGTACGCAGGGAGGCATCCGTTAATCATACAATCTGCTGGGGAAGAAGCTGTCATTTCGGCAAAAAGCCCAAGATCTAGTAACTGCCCTCGTAGAGAGTTCTGGCAGCAATGGTTTAGCAGTAGGGTGGATGTTGGTAAATGTACAAAGATCCAGAGGGCCAGTTCGGTTGCATAATGTGTCTGGTCATATTGTAAAACCCAGAAAAAAATCACCCGTAGCGACCCTGTCGTGTGTCACAGAAGTTGGTCCCTCAGCTGCGTTCGACCAGGGTGACATTGTAACGATGGAACAAGCTGTCAACGGTCCCAGTACTTCCCAGATGTTGACCTCAGTGGTGCAGCTTTATCCTCAACTGAGAAGGCAGCCGTGGAGAGACTCCTTACCCAAAACAGGGACGTGTTCTCACCGATGGGGCTATTTGAGTTTAGCCGAAGCCCTTCAGACTCACCGATGGGGCTATTTGAGTTTAGCCGAAGCCTTTCGGACTCATGAACACGCCAGCTACATTTCAGAGGTTGTTGTCATCTGTTTTTGGTGACATGGCATTGAGATTCTGCTCATCTACCTTATTGACATCATTGCCTTCAGCAGCACGATGGAGGAGCATTCGGAGCGTCTCAGCAATGTGTTTGCCAGGTTACAAGAGCACCGGCTAAGGCCAAAAAAAAAAAAGGCTCCGGTTTCTGGTATGCGCGCGCGTTGCCGTAGCCATGCGCGTCGGCAAAATGAAAAAGTTTTTTTTCAATGAATGATGATGTCTCAAAACCGCCAAACTCACTGGTTTGACTGGAATCCTGCTGCTGCACAATTTTAAAGTGTTTTTAGATGGGGTTATGATCGAGAATAAGCTTTATGTAGCCTCTCTAGACTCCCATATATTTGCACTAAGTTTAGTCGGGCACCATTTGCAGTCATCAGACGACATTTGAAGCAAAAAAGTCAGGTAAAAAAAAAAAAAAAGCCGCGTCGCCGCACCACTTTTTGGGCAAGCTCCATACCAGAAACCGGAGACTTTTTTGGGGGGCCTAAAGTTTAAACCATCAAAATGTCAACTCTTCAGAAACAGTACGGTCACATAGTGTCAGCCGTGGGAATCACCACAGATCCTGTGAAGGTTTCGGCAGTGAAGAATTGGCCTATCCCGAAATGCAAGAAGGATGTCAGGAGTTTTCTTGGGATCACTGGTTATTACCGAAAGTTTGTTCACCAGTATGCAATGATTGCAGCTCCCCTTTTTGCACTGATCAAAGGCAAGCGGAACACCAGAGATCCAACCTTTGTATGGACAGAAGGATGTCAAAAAGCATTTACCAACCCGATTAACCTCAGCACCAATACTGGCATATGCCAACCCTCTTCCATTCTCGGTTCAGACTTGTTGTGTATGGACTTAATTAAGACTAGTAGACTATTAATGTACTTATCAATGCGTCTGGATGGAAAGTTCCAGTACTTCCCCTCTCTTGTTCAAGTGATAGTTTTGAGTGACAACATGTTTGGCCACTTTCGGCCCTTTCTCAAAGTTATCAAAGTCTCTGTGTCAATTACTGAATTGTAAAGTTACCCCTAGAACACAACAATTTCTGGCGACGAGGATGGGATAACTCCGGACAACTTTGAGCATCGTATCACCGCGTTTCGAGCATCAGAAAAAGTCACAGGGTGAGGTGACCCGGCGTGGTCATGACGCCATGACGCCGACGCATGATCGCCGT